CAGGTGCGCCCTTCTCTGGCCTTATCCAGTGCTGCTTGCACAGTCTAAGAGCAACAAAGAAAGCATCAGAGTGAAAATGGGCAAATCAAATTGGGGCTCAGAGCTGGAGAGATCCGATTGCTTCAGACTAATTAACTATATTGTGCAATATTTGTACTAAAAAGGGAAAGGTAAAAATGCAGTAAGAATCAAACTGTAAGGAAAGTCTTTTTTTCAGCTGACACACTCAGCTTGGATGTGCTTCTAAATTTCTACCAATTCTCTAATATCCAAGTGAGTGTGACCAAGCCAAGGAATTTATTGTCCAGCTCTCAGGCCCTGCACTGCTGTTTTTATTGGATATTCAGACTCATCATCAGACACTTCTGTGGTGGTTTAGTTTGTTTTTATGTGCAAAAGCTGTATTTATGACAGATTCCCACTGAATGCTGTGAAACCCAGGGAATTAGTATGCACAGTAGACAGAAAGTACTGCTTCTTAATGACAGTTTAAGAGTCTCTGTAGCTGGCTATTGACTTTATAGCCATACTTCCTCGATCTTTCAAAAAGATCATTAAAAGTGTAAGTGCTGAATTAGCAGTGGTCATGTAATGACCATTATGCTGTGGTAAAGTGATCTTTGTGCAGCAGGATGTCTCCACAGATCAGAAGGTGGCATTGTACTTTGTAAGCCATTGCATTAATTTTCCCTTACTTCTTATCATTGCAAACTTACCTTTTCACTTTCTGTGTCTAAGGCAGATGTAGCTTCATCCAATAATAAAATTTTAGGATCTCGTATGATGGCCCTCGCTATAGCAATACGTTGTTTTTGCCCACGAGACAGCTGAGATCCTTGAGCACCAACATTAGTTTCATATTTCTGAAAAATATGCCAAAGGAAGATCTTTATCTAGCTGTAAACAAACAAGTGCACAAGCTCAAGGAGCAGCGGAGGAGAGAGGCGGGAGTTCTGACCATTGCTGTCTCCTCCTTAAAGAATCTGGGAAGACAGAAATACTTTAAGAGCGATACAGATGTTCAGGGAGATATCTTTGAACCATGTTTTGTAGTACGGTAACAGGCCTGAAAAATTTGATGGCAAGATGATGATTGATTTGTGTGAAGCAAAAGAAATCCCTGACCTAGATTTGGGAGAAGAGGCTAAAAGAGACTGTGGGGCTCACTGGACAAGAGCTTTGTTTGCGTGCATAAATTATATACGTATCTTTCATGTTCTTATGATTTATGTCTGTATGATTTCAGTGCATTTAAATACCTCCCCCGTGTGCATAAGCAGCCAGCTTCAAGTGTTTTGACTGAGGTATTGTACCCTAATTGCAGGGCAGCACTCCCACAGCTGAGAACAGGATCTGTATTTCCTGTATAATACTGTATAATGCTTACCAATAATGCTGTATAATGCTTACAACACTGTAGAATGCTTTGACTGCTGAACAATACTTCCTCTTTTTTCTTATCAATTGCTTTGAGAATCTTCCCTTTTCTCCTAATTTAGAATCATATTATTTTTAGTCTTAGAAACGTTTGCCTACTGTGTAAGAAAACAGAACAACTCACACCCAAGCTCTCGGAAACAAAGAGTGGTCTTTTCTCCTACCATTCTAGTTGTAAAGGAAAGACATAAAATATTTACTGCAGCAATTTCAACTGGTTTTGGTGCAACCCTCTGCAACGACCAGCTGAACAGTGTGTCCCGCAGCCAAGCCTCAGGTATACTTACTTCAGGAAGTGACATGACAAAATCATGCAGCTGAGCCTTCTTGGCTGCTTCTATGACTTTTTCCATTGTCGTGTCCTTAGTGTTACTGCCATACTTAATGTTGTCAGCAATGCTGCAGTCGAATAGCACAGGTTCCTGAGACACTACTCCAATTTTTGATCTGAGAAACTGTACATTTACTTTCTTGGTGTCATGTCCATCTATTAACTACCAGGAAATAGGAGAAAACATAAAACGTCATTCCAAAATGACCTGCAAAGCCAGTTAGTTTACAGTATAAGTAAACGATTTGTTAATAAACTACAAGCAAGACTGACATGAGGTAATTTGAAGTATCTCTTACATTTGACCTCTTTATACATGACGAATACTTTCCAGCTGTGTCTGTGATCCAGCCAAATTCTATACCATCTGATTACTCTTAACTCCAACTGAACTTTTACTGCCTCAGGTTAGGCACATGTTTTGTTGCCTTGCCAGGCTTAATGATCACCACCCTTATTTTTGTCAAAGGATGAGATTCTGACTGAATGATTAAGTTTTTACAAGGAAGAGTTATAAAAGCTAGATAACTATAATCCGCAAAGGAGCTGCATGTTAAAACTATGTATTAGTTAGTGATGTTCCAGATTCCACTGCTTCAGCCAAGCTTGATTCTTGTTTGTGTTCCCACAACATCAGCCACACACTGTATGATTCATACTGGAGCTACCAATGTGATTTCCTGAGGTCTTTATAATGCAGGAGGTGAGTAGTTCTTATTTTTCCTCAGTACATCTGAGATGATGCCCAGAGTTTGAACAGTCCTCCTTTGAAAAGGAGCTGAAAACCCAAGCTGCATGTGTAGAGACACAGTGCTAGGTTCCACGTTTGGACACAGTCAGAAGAGTCCATGTAGCATTGCTGAAGACAACAGTACACAAATCATGTTTTCTTTGCTTACCACACTTCCTTTCTCAGGATCATAGAAACGCTCCAGAAGCTGGACACTGGTGCTCTTACCACAGCCGCTACTGCCAACAAATGCCAATGTCTGTCCAGGCTTAACAGCTACAGTCAGTCCTTTCAGGACCTGAATATCGGGCCGCGAGGGGTATGTGAATTTACAGTTAAGAAATTCAATGCTCCCCTTAAAATCATCCTAGTGAAAAAATGAGAAACACTGCAATGATCTCAAGCTCAAAACTGAGTCATAAAGTAGAAAACAACTCCTCCTCAAATTCATTTCTTGCATCTGTTATTCAAAATGTTATAGCAGCGCTCGTGAAATTAGCATAGAAAGAGTCATTATAAACTTACTGGCACAGCTGTTCTACAAGGTGAAGTCATTAGTCATTAAACCGAAGCTCTACTGACACATCCCTGTACTACACCGGCCCGAAGGAACAACTGGAAGTGGGATTACCTTGCCAACTAGTAAGTTACTCATTTTAATACAGATACTGTGTAAGTACAAATTTGGTGACTATATAAAGATATTTGTGTGAAAAGTTTTCGTTTTTGTTTTAGATCTACTAAACTTTGTGATGTTAAAACAATATGTGAATTCTGGTCAATTTAATGTATTTGGGACAAATATTTCAAGAATTCCTTTAAAGCTGAAAGAAAGCTAAATGAAAAATACATCTTTTTAATTTGCTACGTCTGAGTTTTCCACTGACCGAAAACATTTTCATTTTGTCCTATTCAGAATTTTTTTTCCTTCTCACGAACACTTCCAACTTCTATATGAACTAAAAAAAAAAGCATTACAAGGTGGCTGTAATAACTATCAGAAAGCAAAAGCACGCTGTTTGGTGAATCATTCGAATTACTGCTATTGCAATCCACAGGAGTTTTACATAAATTCCTAATAGCCATGCTTTATGTTACTCTTGCTGCCTACTACAGAGCTCACTGCTTCCAAAAGAGCAGATGTATCAATTATTTGGACAGAAGAACCTTACTGTAAAGTAGCGATCCCCAGTGTTTTTAAATTGTTACTGCAACTTCAGTGCTTATTTTGAGCTGAGTGACATCTCATACCACTCATCTATCTCCACACTTACCCATTTTTCTCCTTTTTTGCTGTAAACACTGATTTTAGGAAGCCGATCGATGAGTTGAAACAAGCGTGCAGCAGATGTTTTGGCTTTGGCATAGTTCGGGGTGTAGGAAGAAGCTCTTCCCAAAGAAGTCCCACTGGTCACGATTGCAGAGATCACTCTGTAGGAAAAGTGAACGTGGTTACTCTTGGGCAGCCATCAGGAAGCTGTGCGCTCTGCCCAAACCAGCACCAGGAGAGGAGCCTGTGCCTGGCCCCATGCAGGCTCTTACCTGAACACAAAGCTGTAATGGAGCCCCTCAGTTTGAACCAGAAAGCCTCCATATCTGTAAGATACGGAGTTGGCTATGAACACTATGCTCTGGGCGAAGCCAAAGCAGATTCCATAAACATTTGCTTTTTTGATTGCAGCTCTGTACGGCATATCCAGGTTCTTCTCAAAAGCATCAATAAACTTTTTTTCTTTCCCTATCCCAGCCACAGTTCTGATGTTAGAGAGAGCTTCACTGGAAATCTGGAGGAGAAAAAAAAAAAAGAATAGTAAAATGCTTATCCCTGCTTATCTCAAGTAATTTTATTTGGAAATTGGTTTAACAATGCTGTCGTTTGCCTGGAGTTCATAAGTAGTTTCATGGTATGACATTTCCTGTGTTTTCAGCACACGGATGTTTTTATCAAACAGAAAGAGATCTCAATATATAAACCATTACAAAGTATGCCATTCAATTTCAGGGTATTTCTTATGGTCAAAATTAAGGGTCACATCTGTTGCATTATTACACAACTTGAAGCAGAAAATAATTAGGTACAGTGCATTTGTCCAGGCTGCTTTTCTATGTTTTATGTGGCTGGGGAACAGTCACAGTGGAGAAGCTTTTTATTTGGATGCAATGCTGGGAAATAAATTAGACAATAGCACCAGATATAATCAGTCATTGCCAAAACTGCTGAAGCACTGAATGCCCTTTTCATCCCAGCCTCTGAGTTGTTCTATTGAATACAAGCTTAAAGCTTGACTCAGTAGTAAAGTTTCTCTGTTTAAATCCCCAAATCAGTTCCAATATAACGTTTTATTACTTTTTGTAATTAAGCCATTCTGAATGTGAAACACTAGTCTGGCCATAATTCTTCCTTGGCTTTCTAGAACTGATGATAGTTCCTAACAGCCCTCACCAAAGGACCACGTGTGCCCTGTGAGCATTATTATTATTATTATTATTTTTGAATTCTAGAATTCTAAGGGACACCCTGAGCTACTTGCAGAGCTGAACAGGGCAAGGGCCCCATCCACCCATTTGCTGCACAGACATGGACAAGAGGAGGCTGAAGACAAGTCTCTGAGAGCTTAGCAGGGTAAGAAGGTTCAGGTGGGGCAGGGTGGGAGGTGGGCTGGGTAAGACATTTGGTGGTCAGAATTTGAATGGAGGAATGGGGAGGGTTGGCAGGAGTGAGAGATATGCAAGAATCATTTCTAGACAGGATAAAGAATTGTCTGGGAGCTCCGTGGAAGGAGCTCTGAGGTTTTGGGAGAGCTTATAAAGCACACTTTTGATGCTAGAAATATGAGAGCCCAAAGAGTGGGGAGAAGGCTAGTGTATTACTCAGAGAGCTAATATCTGACATGGTCTTCCTCATGTTGCCTGTCCTCTAAATCTGTGTTTCTGATACAGTTCAGTTTCTGCATGTTGAACTAGGGTAAATGTATTTAAGAAGGATAGGATTCTGGGCGATGTGCCAGAACTTACTGACTCAGAACTAAAGTCAAAGGAACGTCTGTGTTTCAAGTCAACAGAGCAGCCCACTGCTCTCTGTGGTTAGGAGTGAACTCTGTGAGAATATGATGTTCCTTTACCTTCCATACTCTCCCTGTCCTTATTTAGTACATGAGCTGGGAGCCTGCTCAGCTAGAGCAAGATTAAATAAACTTATTCTCAGCCTAGGAGATGGGGCAGTCCTCAGGGCCTTGCAGCTAACAGGGCATGGGATGCTGCTAACTGATACTGGAGTCAGAGTAACAGGGAAGAGAGCTTTAGCCAGAGATCAGCAAACGGGCATTTACATAAAACCTGATAAAAGTGGAACAGACAAATGAGAGAGTTGTGTCTACCATCCAATAACATTTGGAAAGTCATGTGCTCTAAGTGCTTTTGAGATCAGAGTTCCCAAAGCCGTTTCAGTAATTTTACAAGCTAAAACATTGCAACTTATTTGCAAAAAGTTGCTAGTTTCAATGCATTTGAATTACTGATGGTCTCAAATGTCTGGTTCTCAACTGCCCACAACTGCAAATATAAATTAGTTTTTCAGTAATGTTACCTGCCCAGTAGCTTCCAGAGCTTTCTTGTCCTGAGCAGCAAATCCTGTCAACATTTTAGCTTGCACAGCTCCAGACAGGGCCAAAAATGGCAGGAAACACATTATGACCAAACTCAGTTTCCAGCTGAAGTAGAAAGCGATAATGATGGCCACCCCAATGTTGGTGAAGGAGTTGATGATCATTCCTATCTGCGATCCAGTTGCCTTCAAAGAAAAGAAAAGGAGATGGCTGACCTGTACTCCAATTGTAATTTCAATTATTTTTAAATAATTTTTCCTGTAAAAGCTTAGAAAAATCTGAATGATATTAAAATACTGTAAGGCATTCACTGGCTGCTGACTGCACTGGAATTTAGCCAGTTCAGACATATGGCCTCCTATGAATTGTACTAACAAGACTGCAAATCTCTAGCATTCTTCTCATCACCAAAGTTTCCAATAAGAACTGAGAAAATGCTTTCTGATGACTGTGAGAAAGATAATGTATTGAAGCGAGTCCCCTTGATTCCTTATCTAAGTACTCTTTTCAGCCCCCACCATTTATACATCTAGAATTAAATAATAAGCAGAACCTTTTGTAACTTAAATATTAACACAACAAAGTCTTAGCTGCGTTTAAATCACTAAGAAACACCATTAAAATGTGCCCTGAAAGAGGCTGTACGAACAGAAGGGGTTTGCAGCTCCTTTTTCTGGTCCTTTGGAAACTGCTGCTGACAGGGTTTTTGGGAACCTCTTCTCTCATTCATCTTTAAATTCTTAGAACCTCCAGAAATAGTAGTTTTTAAAAACTAATCCATTATCTTCAGTCAAGATGAATCAGAACAATTACTTGTAATAGAAACATCTGTCTGTTTCCTTCTTTTTTTCTAGAAAACCACTTGCTTTGGAACCAAATGAAACGGTTCACTTCTAACAAAGCATCCATTCAGTGAAGTATACTAATAGCTCAGCATAATTTAATCCTCATCTCCTAAGGAATTCAGCACGTGGGTTGAGTGGGCCCCTTTCCCAAACTGGAACTCACACTGAAACTGACTGCCTGAATCCCCAGCTGGTGCACCAGCCAGTCCTGTCAATTGGTTCTTTATGTGGGCTGTCGCTTTAAATCAAAGCAGCAAGGAACAGTTTTGATACAGCATGAACAGTATCATCCTGTAAACAAGACTGGTGAACCTTGTGACAGTACCAGCCTGACATGCTTTTGAAATAAACACATAAGCACTGTGGCAAAGAGCTAACTCATCTTCAGAAGGAAAACAAAGAAAGCTCCTTGATGCTAATTCCAGTTTCACTGATGGCTGATATTAATTCAATTTATTTTTGTGTAATTTTCAGGTAATACAGACACCAATAGCGGTCAATGAGCTGTGATCCTAGTTATGCTTTTAGGTAAACACAGTGGTAATAGTTCCAAGTTCACAGTCTATGATAAACGGCAAAAGCTTAATTGACTGATCAAGGACTGGCCTACGCTGACTTTGCTGTTCTCATGCTCGTTAATTTCTGTGATGATGTGTCAAAATAGGCCTTCAATCTGTGCTTATATTAAAAGAATTATGAAGGTCTTACCCCTTGGACCTGTGATGCATCCGTTGCAAGCCTCGTAGTCAGTGCCCCAGGGCTGTTCCTCCGGTCATCAAACCAGCCGATGTCTTGCCCTAGCATAGCCTGGAAACCAATTTTCCTTAACCGTCTTGTAAGCAGCTCACCAGACTTGGCAAAGTTGTATCCCTGGATCACAAACAGTAAACAAAAAGGATTGTACAGAAAGAGATACACGCAGAAAATGGGATCAGAAACAAAATTTACTTACATTGCACTGTTATTACCTGTAAAAACTGTGTAAAAAATGAAACAATTCCAACCAAGACAAACAGCAGGCAGACACCATTGATCTGGACTTTTTGTTCTTCCTCATCAAGAATGGAGAAGGTCTTCAGGGAAAAAAAAAAAAAGAAAAAAAAAAAAGGATAACATAATATTAGAAGAGCCTGTTTTTATAAGACCACCACCAAAGGAAGTTACAAGCTGAGCCCAAGGGAGAGAACCGCATTTGGTCTTATTGGCTCAAGGACAAGTTCTGGTGACCTAGGAACTTACTGCTCTCCTCTGAGTTCTGGCCAGGAGGAGAGGGGACAAAAGGAAGGCTTATTCTGCTGCCTTTGGGCAGACGTGTCTTCCTAGGAGGTGAAACATCTGTATGTTCATTGCTGTTTCCAAAACCATTTGTTCATGACTCTACTGCTCCCCCAAGAATCACAGTTACCACACAGAGCTCTCCCTCCCCCCTCACAAATGCCAACTTCCATATTTCTCTAGGCTACACCTGGGTACAGAATATTGATTTTTTTACTCCTCTTAAACAAGTTTGTTATAGTCTCTGTTTGCATATACTGATTATTTTCTGTCCATGCATAGTTATAATTAATCACACACACACCAAAGGTCAATAACCAGAAGGGCAATAACATTAATGGCATAGAGACAAAGCAACTACAGCAGCCTCCATACCTCCTCTCTAATCTATGACAACTGCAACCTTATTGAGCCATACAAAGTACTCATAAGTAATTACACCTTAGGATGGCTCCTTGCATAACACTAATCGATGCCATAATTGCTCTAAGTAGGCTTCAAGAGAAGCCAGTGTCTTTTACTGAAAGTGTGGGGATACAAGCTATTTGCTCACTGATGGCTACTTGAGGAAGAGCTTTAGAACTTAAAGCAGAGCCCCTCCATCCTCATCCACTCCAATCTCCATTATATTTTCCTTTTATCTGTTGTTCTTTATATCTATCTCATCTTTTCCAAAAACTGCTGGTGTTACTGGCTGCTGCTGAAGCAGTGGAACACGTCTAAGAAGCCATTTTTACCAATTACTTTCCCTCACAACAGTTGATATTTATGTCAGTTAACCTACCTCAACTGCTGAACTGCTTATGCTACTTGCAGGGATAAGCCACAGCTCGTGGCTGTACTTCTCCACTAATGTTAAATTCATTCTAATTGGATTTCTCTCTTGCTATAAATTGCTTAATCTCTCGCCTTCTCAGCCCATCCTCTGTGCAGCTAGAAAAGCCATGCACTGAAGTACACGCCTACGCTCACCCTAAACTGAGAGCGGTAACTGTCCTGCAATTAAGAAGCAACAGTGGTTGGAAAGAGATCTCTGTACTGCAAACAGTTCAAACATATTTCCAATTGAATTTCACTGGAAAATGATTAATTTCCCATGCTTGGACAGTTTCACAATGAGAACCATAGAACAGCTGAGAAGAAACAACCAAGTAAAGTGTTCCCCGTTGTAAGCTTCTGATTTGAACAGAACAACTAAAGAGAGACATGCAGTATTATCCAGCTCTTCGCTGACTTCTTAGGACTAATTTTTTAGCACCTTCAAAAGGCAGACTTTGCTAAATTCACTCTTTCATTCTGCAGTTGTAAGGACTTTTTCCCATTGTTTCTCTAGTCTATTATTCCCACAGCATGAGCCCACATACCTGGCACAACATCACTGCAGACAGTCAAGCAGTTTGAAAGGCAGATGCCTGTTCCATCTGCCTGCCTTCCTTGGCAGCAGGCAGAAATTTCTTAAATTTATGAATAATAAAACACAGATATTGGACTTTGCTCATGTTGGCTATGGCTTCTTTTTTTTCTTGCAATCTCTTTCTTTTGATGAACTCAGACATTCAAGAGAAGGAATTCATCCACAATAAAGGAATTCAGCATCCTATAGGATGACTCAAGTCTTGACTTCGCAGTGTTAGGAAAACCCAACTCTCAAAAGGAATCAAAAGTTAGACTGATTGCAGACTATACAAAGCAGTGCTCCCCTGCTCTCTAGTGAACCTTAGCGGATTATCAGGGACAGGAACGTCTCCTGCTCTGCCCCTTCCTGGCAGGGGTAGACCTGCCAAAGCAAAAGGTCATTCATTTTTTCCATAGACTGTTGACTTATTAGGAGCATTTTCTCAGCCCTTTTCTAATCAATAGCTCAGAAGCTGGAGCATTCATTCACTTCTTTCCTGCCTGAAAGGATTTAATCCTCTAGTCCCTAGGTGTGTTTCTACCCTTTGTATCATACATTCTTTGCACCCAAAGATACTTAATATGACCTAGATGAATAAGTGGGGATTACAACACAAGTTTTGCCCTATCTCAGATTATTACCTAAACCCCAAAACTATATTAGTATTCCCATTTTCTTCCCAGCAAATGTGTCATTAGTTTACCCAGTAAGAAACAGCATAAATCCTCCTGATTATTGAAAGTTTAGGGCACTTACCTGGGCACCAGTTAGAGCAGTACTGAATTTCCTTAGGCAGCCCTCCAGTTTCCAACTAACTTGACAAAGGTTTTCCCCAAAAAACTATTTTACAAAAGGAGCAAGCATCCTCTCTACTCCAACAAGTTTTTGAAAGAAAAGTCACAGCTGAACTCTTAAAAAGTTTCAGGTGAGACTGTAGAATGTGATGGTAATGCATCCCTTAGCATATGACAAGGTGTCATGGTTCTATGTTTTTTGTTTGTTTGTTTGTTTGTTTTTATTTTGGGTTTCAGTATTCCACATCAAAACATCATGTAATGTACGGGGTATTAAAGTGTTAATGCCCAATCCCAGGTATACCTATCCCTGTACATTACAGCAGTCACGGGATCTGGCCCTTCCAGGTGGGGGGGGGCGCTCTCTTGCTGCCTTGCAGTGGGTGCTGGAGGGTGCTTTCCTAGCCGTTCCAAGCTTTTCAGGTTTGAATCGGTCCCGGGAACTCTCTCTCTCTCATCTTGTCTGATTTATTAATCTCAATTTCAATTAAATTGTATATATTATCTTGTATTCCAATATTATAGTAAAATAAGTTTTCCTCCATGGATTGTTGCCGCTGCTCTTTTCCTCCCTTCCTTCCTTCCCATTTTTGTGGGACTGGGGTGGGGGGGAGGGCAGAGGCCTGTCGCCCCTGTCACGGACATAGATTGATCTGGTCAAATCCGTGACACAAGGTTTAAAACACATTCCTGTTTCCTGCTTGTCTTTCAAACTTGTTCATTCAAGTCTGCTTTCTGCTGGCAGGTGTGCAATCTGTTACAACAATTTACCTCTCCCTGGGAATTGTGCAGGGAAAACGCAGCAGAGACGGATGTTCCAGAAATGAAATATGTGAAGAAAAATGTGAGGTATTTTTTGGGTATGATCCAAGGCTTTCCTAAAAGCCTGGCCAAGACTTTAGAATAAAATTTTGCATGGAGGGACCTCTGCACATCTCCCTCCTCACTGTATCTGGATCTGAGGTATATCTTGTTTAATTTAAAATAAACTGCACATGTGCAGTAACGTGCTCCCAACAGTTCATGGAAAGCAAGGAAGACAGATGATGAAGCACACATGAAAAACACTAATAAACCTGCTCCTTCAAGAGAAAGCCCAAATGATAGCAGAATGGCAGTTGCATATCTCTACCAAATAACTTTTCATAGATAAGGAGGCTAACTCCGTTTACTTGACAGGACCTAAAGATTTGCCCAAAACATGCCAAGCACTGTGCTGCAGGGTCCTACATTCTGCTTAAGCACTCCAATACACTTTCAGATGTCAGCTTAACATACCCCAAGAATCTGACTGAATAGCAAAGCGTAGAGTGGGCTGAGCGCTCCATTCACAGCTGCTCCCAGAGATCCTATCACCATGTATGGCCATTCAGAGGCATTATATTTCAAAATCCGGGCAAATGGGACAGGTTTGACATCTTCCTGCTCCTCAACAAGTTCCTGAAAAAAAGATTGGATTTATGAAATAAATGCATTATCCTGGTGATGCTCTCCATATGGCAGTGAGATACAATAATTAGTAAAATAATTAGCCTAGTCTGTTAAATGGCTGCCTCCAGTACTCAAATAGCTGCTCTAGCATTATATGGGAAGGGGCAACGATGGGCCTTGGCTGCTGACTGGAGCTCTTTCACAGGGCTAGGTATGCCTTGTTCAGCTCAACGGATTCCAAATTAAAAGGTTAATTATGAGCAGACTTTCTGCTACTGAAATTCAGACTGTTCCCATTTTGCTGCTTCCAGATGATGTACGATGTACAATTGGAGCTCAGTATCAAAACTTAAGCTTTTCCCTCACAAGGGCCTTTTAATCTCTCCTGGAATGTTCTTAAATATTATTTTTAAGCATTATGGGTGGACACACTGATCAGGCTCTGCATCAAATTAATAGGTATGCAATAGAACTAGAACAAAAGAGACCTCAGACAGATATCTAGAGTCAAGTTTTATACATGCTAATTATGTCTCCTTTTTGTGAAACATCCTCAGGCTACAGACAGAATTCCCATAATTACTCCCAATAACAGCAGAACATTCATCATCAAATTACAACTTACCCTGCAGTTTGATTGTGCAGTTTTTCTGTAACACTCAGTGTGATGAGCCCTGTTCACCTCCCTCAGTTCACAAGGCTGGAAATGCCCAGACAAAACTGACCCTGTAAAGACCTATCTGCTGGAAATGTGCGAGGGTGAATGAGTGGGAACATTTTGTTTTTCTCTTCCTTCTAAGCCAGTGCCAGAGTGACAGCACTGAAGCTCTCTTTTTAGCCACAGAACAGGCCCAACAATAGCAATAACAGTGACTTCAAACTGCTGCTTTCTGCACTAAACAACTGAGGCCCTGCAAATTGGTGCAGGGAGTTTTTTAAACATTTCAGAAACTCACTGTGTGTATTCCTGAAGAACTGGTTCTATTCTACATAACTTTAATGCATGCCATCTTTATTTTCTACTCCACTTAACTGCACAAGGCACTGCCACTGAATGAATTCTGGGCAAGACTGCAATGAGGGTCTCTTTTGACTCACACGCTTCCAAATGATGTTGAGAGGAAAAGGAACTCACTGCATTAAATGAGAAGCAACAGCATTTCTATTGC